TAAATACACTTTTCAAGCATTGAGAAAATAGCCAGAAGCTGATTATATTTGTATTGTTTGAGAATTACAATAATTTGTCAATTTTGCTGAATTTTGTTTGGATTTGTTATCAATGTATACTAATAAGAGGTGAAATTTACACAGTGTACATATTTAATCAAATGTGAAGGTTTGTGGCTGAGATTAATTTTTATATCATCATTTTTTAAAAAATGAATCTGACGCTGGATTTTCAGGAATATGATTGCACAAGTGTCTTTATGAGTTTCAATGAATGTGTGATATTTACCTGCATAGCTAGCAGGTCTGCATGCATTTGCACTGATAAAGTTGTGGGCTCAGTTATTTTATCTTACAGAAACATTTCTGAATAATAATCAATAAAAATAATGGAAAATAAATGATATAATAATTATAAAGATTGATTATATCATTTAAGTTTATTTCTTAATCGAAGTAATGAAGAGCCAAGGAAAAATGAATGTGCTTTTGAAAAAAAAACCTTGAATCAGTAAAGTTGATTCTCATGGCAGATTGTATTTCTTTGTATCTAATAGTCTTTATACAAATTGCCATTATTAGTAAGTTTTCATTGAAAGTGAAGTTTAAGAAATAAAAATGTTATTTCTGTGAACTTGGTTTTTTACCTTAATTTTGCAGTTCAACTGAGGCTATTATTTTTGAGGTAGAAATAAAACTGAATTATCTAATTTTTTAAAATGTATGGAAAAATCTTTATTGCCAGATTGAGGAATAAGCACTTTCCTTGTTTCAAATTGAAATTAATACCTAGTTAAAGTGAACTGGTTTAAAACTTTCCCTGTGTAATCTATCTAGTAAAGTGCTAAGAAAAATTACCAAAAACATGCACTCCTTTCTTTTTATTTTTCATGGACAAGAAAATATTCTTATGAATGTACCTTTTAATTCCAATTCAGTTCCCAAATATTCATGTATTCTAATTTCTTAAATTAATATAGGATATATAATGTATGCCAGTGAACTGAATAATACTTTCTTCAGTATATTTCTTTTCTTTAAATAACTAGGTGAATTATTTAAATGATAATGAAAAATTTTTTAACAACTCTTCTATTTATCATTTACTTTTCGTCTGTAGTCATTTGTATTGTCATCAATATATGATCTCAGGGAGTCCTTCTGACCAGTTAATTTGTACTCATGTAACAGAAGAATTTAGGTTATTTTGTATATACCATAAAAAGGAAAGCAGCAAAAAAAAAAAAAAAAAAATTATACTTCACAATATTCACAAAAAGTATAAATTTTTTTTTTTTTTACTTTGTTGCTTTCCTTTTTATGGTATATACAAAATAATCTACATGAATGTTTCTTATCTTTCCTTATTAACTGAATATTCATTCATACTTTTTGACTTTGGCAAAAACATCATGAATATTCAGTTAATAAGGAAAGATAAGAAACATTCATGTAGATTTTGATTTGTTTTTACAACTTGAAAGGCCAATAATGAATGTTCTTGAAACCAGAGCGCTGTTATGCACATTTCAAAACAGGTGAATGTTAACTCAAGATTTGTGTCCAGATAGAAAATGTGCTGTATAGAATTTCGTAACAAAAATTCATAAATAAATGTAGGTACCTTCACTAATTCACTGAAAAAACAATATAGCAGGATGAGAAAAGGCCTCAAACTTGATAAAAACAGAGTTTTATTGTCAATGTTTGTTATTATTAAGAGGAAAGACCAAAGTATTTTTAATTATTTTTTAAATGCTTGATGCACTGCTAAAGCTAGGTTGAACTGTTAAAATTTCAGTGATTCTAACATCATTAAAAATGCTGGTTTAGTACAGTGGTGTGACACACAACACTAAAGAAGATTACACAATGAAAAATTATTTGTTGCTCAATCTGGTGGCTGTATAGTGCTGTTACTTTTTAGAATGGGTGATCAGCAGGGGCTGATTAGAATCAATAATTTACCTAAGCCCCGACAAAGCATTAAGTGTAAACTTCTCAATGCTGAAAGTGATGTTTGGAAAAAAAAACATTAAAGTGATTAGTCATGTTCGTAAGGTCACAGGGAGAAATAAGTTCTATATGAATATCATTCTTGATGTGTAGATGGTGAATTTTTTGTTTGGGTTTTAATGAATATTAATGGTATCAAGACCTCCATGCAGAAATTATATAGATGATTTAAGAAAATAGAAAACAATTATAAAATTTTTATGATTAATGATGCATAATTGATATTTGAGTTGAATGTTTGTGTGTGGGAATTGCTTTTGTTAATTAGTAATTCAAAATTATAATGACCATTGGCAGCATTTTGCTTGATTTAAGATGTTATTACAATGTTTATGTTTAGCACTGAGAGATACAAGAAAACTGGATGTTTAATCAAGGTGAAAATAACTTTAATGAGATGCTCTACTCACTAAAATAACTTTATGGTATTTATAAGTATTGATTAAAAAGTAACTTGTGCAAAACAACTGATGTACTATTTACAATTTTTTAAAAACAAATTGTAATGATTTTTGTGTTAAAATCAACACAATTGTATGCAGTAGTAATGTTGCAATTGACTTTAATTGAATTGTACTCTCTTACATGATTGAAGAAATTTATTTTTTTACTTTGTATTGTTTACCTATATATTTTCCAATACTTTTTTTTTAAACAGTTCATCCCAAGCAAGTCAATAAAGCCACTAAGATGCAAGGAGTTATTGAGTGTTAGAGAATATGAGTAAAAGAAAATGCTAAAGAGAGAGAACAATAAAAGGACAGGAATTAAGACAGAAGATAATAATTGACATTAAATTTTTGAAGATGAAAATTGACTGGAAAGCAAGAAGTCTGAAGAGTCACACAAGCAAGAAGTGTGAGAGAGGAAACTGTTAGTATAGAACTTACAGTTATATCTAACCATTTGAACTGTAAAATGATGAAACCATGCTACCAATCTAGTACATTTAAATTTATAAAATCTAGGTACCAGAGAGGAAAGCTCATCAGAACAATTACCATTAAAGTATTTATAGAAAAGGCACAGGGAAGCTCCATTACAGCAGTAGGAAAGTGACTGAAGGTGGGATGCCAGGTCAGGACCAATAATGTTGCAGATTCTTCTTAGTATTTTATCAAGAATCTCTATGTCAGAAGCACCAAACCATATGTGGCAGCAATATTCAATACATGGATGAATGGTAGACTTGTAAATATGTAAGATAGACAATTTTTCTTATCAGAATCTATCATGACACCATGAACCAACTTTCCTTGCAGCAGACCCAGCAATTGATTCAACATAATCTTTTCACTTCATGTTAGCCTGAGAAGTTGCAAGGAGTTACTCTCCTGGAGGTTAGGATCAGCCATGTTGATGAAAGGGGAAAAATGTTTGCTAAGATGATTAAAAGAAAGTAGTTTTATTTTAGAAGCATTAAAATTAGTAAGCCATTTCTTGCTCCAGTTAACAGATTGTAGGTCATTTTGAAGATCACCTGCCAATATCAAACAGATCAGACTTACCATTAATACAGGAGTAAATAGTTGTCATGAGCATATAACTTAGTTGAGAACTGATGGCATCAGCGAGGTTGTTGATAAAAATTAGGAACAACATAGGTCCAGAGATAGAGCTTTGGGTGACACCTGCATTAATGCAAAAAGTTCTAGAAGAGTAGCTGTTCAAGACAACTTTCATTTCATAATTTGATAAGGATGGAATCAGATCAAATCTTTTTTTCAGAAATACCATAACCTTTCAACTTGTAAAGAAGGCCAGCATGCCAAACTCTGTCAAATATCTTTTAAGCAACAACCTGAGCTTCATTTTGAAACTTGATACTTTTTTCAGCAATAATTGTTAATACATCAGCAGTTGACTTAGTGAAGTAAAAGCCATGTTGCTCATCTGAAAGAAGACTGTACTGTGAGATGCTTAATCAATCCAGTTGATTAGAATCTCTAGTACTTTGTCAAAAAGAGGTAGAATAGGCCAACAGAAGGATCAGATGGTTTGTCTGAGTTCTTAAAGATTTGAATAACAGAAGTGAATGTCTAACAAACAGGAAAGGAAGAAGCAGCAAGGCATTTATTGTAGAGTTTAGAGAGAACAGGTGTCAGTTCAGGTGCACATTTTTTAAGGACTATTGTAGGGATAGCATTAAGTCAACATGCTTTGTAGGGATATAGTTTAGATATGATAGTAGAAACCCTGTATGTATGCCACAGAATAGAGACTAGGTTCTAAGTCGTGAGTTGTGCAAAGATATTCCAAAATGAGTCAAGAGTAGAATTGGAAGAAAATTTACAAGCAGAATCTTCTGCTTATCAGCAGTCCTGTAGTAATTCTTAAAATAATTTGTCAGAACCAAGACATTAGTGACTACTGAAAAGTTCTTGACCGGCTTCCAAAAATTTGATCAAATGACCAAACATTAGATTATTTTTTTTTTGTAATCCATTTGTGGTTGTGCTGAGAACTTTCCAGCATCTGTTGTATGTCATTTTGTAATAGCTTGAACTGTGTTTATATATATATATATATATATATATATATATATATATATATATATATATATATATATATATAATATTCTAAATGAAATTGTAAATTAAGTTTCATTATATTTACTCAATTTTCCATTTGAGCTTGAATTCACAAAATTTAAATTTCAGATGTTAATGTTTTCGTATAAAGAAAAGTTTGATTTCAAATATGAAACTTTTTTCCTAGGTAGACAAGCTTATGTTTGGAAATCTGCAGCACTCATGGAATAAATATTAAAACTGTTATTGATTGTATTTGTGGTATGTAAAATTTATAGTTGGCTATTTCATGAAAAAATTCTCTTTAAAGAAATATATCCTGAAACAAGCTTTCCATAATCTTTTTATAATGATTTTTCATTTGTCTATAAATGTTTACTGACTAATATTAAACATTAAAAAATTTAAAACATATAATGGTAGTAAAAATAAAATTTGTTTTATAATTTTCAGGTTTTTCGCCGAGCAGACAGAAATGGTAAGCAGTTTTAGGTTGGCTTAGAATTACTAGTCACTTGATTGTTTGAAAATGTAAAATTGTATGCATATGCATGATTAAATTTAACCTTACATTCATTGGGAATGTCTATCTTTTGGTGTATTGTATAGATTGTATAGCATGAGAAATCATTGGTAAGAAATCAAAGAAACTTGAATTTTTTTTCTTAATTCAGCCTTAAAATTTTATTACTGTAACAATAAAATAAACAACTTTCACAATCTGCTTTTGGGTAACCTGGAAATATACAGAGCAGGAAAATTCTGCTCTTTGAAATTGATATATACAAATTAGTTCTTCATATTTTTTTTTTCATCTTTTTGTTTCTTTTAAAATATTTGCAGGTTTTGCTCAAGTGCTATTTATTTATTTTTCTCTGAGTGATAGATGACTTCATGTCCATGATTTAATTTGGAATCATAAAATTTGAATTAGACTTAGCTAATGCTAACTTCAAAATCAGAGGTAACTACTTCTGTTCCTGCTTTCTTCCATTTTTCACTGTTAATTGAATTCAAGCAAGCAGAAGAAAAAAAATATCTGGATTTATCTTAGTGAGAAAACTTTTGTTTGGATTTGTGCCTGTATCTGGACTATATGGACAGCTTCTCTTTTTCCTCTCCCGCCTCCAGTATAATATAAAATCAATACAGTTCTTCCAATAAAGAAGTTATTTTTCTGTCCTTGTAAGTTAGAAATATCAGATAAATAATGGTTTCATAAAACATCTTGTAAGAATATAAAATATTGAGGAAAAATAAATTATAAATTTTGGATCTATGCATTTAAAACCTAATTTTTTTAATGACTAGGAAGAAAGTCTGCTCAAAATTTCATACTATATAACCATATGTTACAGGATACCTGTTAAGGTAATTTAAAATCAGAAAGTTGAACTTGTGCTATCAACTTATTGTTAAATAAATTTGTAAATTAAGTTTTTGCATGCTGCATGAATCTATTTTATCATCTTTATCAGGTGTACAGTCTCTATGGAAAGTAGCATTTTTTTCTTTTTCTGGTAATGAGCAACATTTTTATTGTTTTACAGTATTGGTGGGCTTTATTATGGAATGGAGAACCCTGCTTTTATACATATTGTATACCTGAGTGAGACCATAGAATGGACCGGCTGGAATCCTGTCAATGACAAAAATAATGAGATCAATAGTTTTAATTCAAAAAAAAATTTGAATGTTCAACTCTGTATGTTGGCTTTGAACTATTTTTTTTTCTTTAGTCATTTTCAGGCATTACAATGGTCAGTTTTCCAGTTATTCAACAAGATTGGCATTTTCAATAAGGAGATTGAAACAATCCAGAACTCCTATTTAAACCACCTGGATATGGATAAAAAATGAATTTAGTAAATAAACAAAAGTAGAAAGGGGTATAAGACAAGGATTTTTCTTCTGAGAGAAGTCCTACAAGTATTCATTATTGGTGGCCACAATCTTAATAGCATTAGAAATGCATATGACTGTGTTTATAGCAGACAGGAAACTACATGAACTCTTACAGAAGGTAGTAAAGGAAAGCAATAAAGGACTAAACATTGATTGTAAAGATGAAATGCATAGTTTCCAGCAAAAGAAACAGCCCAACATGTGAATTACAAATTGGAGATACCAAAATCAAGCAAATACAAAATCAAAAGCACATTAGGGTAGCATTAAGTATTAATAAGCAGGGAAATTTTGTTAGAAACAAAGAAAAGTTTACTGAAAAGTTATGTAATATCAGTCCTTCTATATGGCAGTGAATGATGGACAATCTTTTCATAGATGAAGAGACTTGAGGCAACAAATGTGGCTCTACAGAAGTATTCTGAGGATACCGTAGAATGAATATGTAAGCAATGATCAAGTTTTAGGGGAAATGGAAACAAAAAGAACACTTATACATATAAGTGGAAAGAGACAATTGAAATTTCTCAAATACATGAGAAAAAAGGTCTTGAAAATTTCATACTCACAGGATATATTGAAGGCAAGAGGAACAGTAAAGCAGTGAAAACGAACTTGTGTAAATGCTTGGCAGAAAAGGTATTAGGAGAGCAAAACTTAATAAGATTTACAATAGACAGGGAACTGTAAATAGGCCATGACTGCCTATGTCCTAAAGGGACATGGCACATAGAAGAACACCAATGGCTATTTAAAAAGTTTGTTTTCTTTACTGGTAAACCAGTGCGTTGCTTTTTAAGCACATGCTCTGTGTAATTTTCCTTTAATTGAAATCAAATGATCCCACATAAGTGTGCTTGCCTTTTACTAGTATTATAAAATCCAAATATTTACCTTTATTCTGTTAATTTATAATTAACAAATAACATTACAGTATTGGAAATTCTAAAATTAAATAAATCAGAAGGGAAAGGCTTATAGAAAAGCTAAGTTAAAATTATGCATCTTGCATTTTGCTTCAGAAAAAATATTATAGGCTCAATGCACATGTACAAGAACATTGAAAGCTGTTGCAACCACTGTGGATTTTTTTTTTTAAATGAATCTCAGAAATAGCATTAAGAGTGTATTCACTTATAAAAACCTTGGATAATTTGGTTAGAGATGCCAGGAATTGAATATATCAAATTGAGAAAGAACAAATGTGTTCAAAGGAGTATGTATAAGTTTTCAGGACAGTACAAGATCTATTTTTAGAGAAATAAGATTAAACATTGGAATATTATGTGAATGAAAGAAAATAAGTAAATCTTGCAGAACTGACTAACTTTCTTGATCAGATGTGAAGAGAATGGCTTTCCAAGCTAGGATGATCTGATTGTGTTAACTATAAGTGGTATAGGAGTCAATGATTATGCAATGTGTCTGGGTAAGACGATAAAATATGTCCAACAGCTAGGGTCCCACTTATGGGTTAAATAGGCCCTTCTCCCTGTCGGCAGGGTGTCTGAATATGTCGACTGCCCCCCTGCAGAGAGTAAAAGCCTTTCAATGGAGCCACCTGTTGGCCGTGGGTGGCAACCCGTAATGCCTGAAGACGGGATCCTGGTGGCTGAGCAATCCATGACCCAGGAAAAAGCGGCCATGGTACTGCAACACTCCACTTTGGCCCTTATCTGGGCTAGACAGGCAGTTGGAGAGGCCCGATCTGATCACTTGGCTAGTCCCGACTTGCCCTAGCATATATATTTGTCTTTATTTTCTCCCAATCATGTTATACACTCTGCTCGTGTAGAATTATCAATCTGCTATTGCGGAACTAGTCCCAACCCTCTATTATATATGCTAGAAGGTGGGGGCTGAGGGTCAATCGTGTCAAGAGATATGAATGTTGACCAACATTAGACTGTTGAGTGTTTGATAGAGGTTCAGAAACATACTCTTGGCGTGAGTATACTGGTTTTGTATCCCCGTCTCAGCCAAGGCGAATGGGTTTCCCTCTTGGTTTATCCCCAACATGAGTTGGACTCCGTGGTGGGTGGAGGAGCATGGGACCAGCAAAAAACATAAAAACACGTATGGCTTCCTCTACAAATAAAAAACTTAAACGCAATTATATAGAATCTGATTCTTCTTCAGATAATGAAACGGAATCATCCTTTCCAAGATTTTTTGTTATAGAGTCATGTAGCTCACCAATCACAAATTTATCCCCCTTTATAATAGAAAAGGTGATATCAGGCAACTTAACACATTTAACTGTCATGAAATTGAAAAATGAGGCGCTCCTTGTCGAAGTGGAAAAGAAGAAACATGCGGATTTTCTACTAAAAATTATGTTCCACAATGTTCCAGTAAAAACATACCCTCACAAATCCCAGAACACAAGTAAGGGGGTTGTGAGAACCAAAGAACTATCTTTATGTACAATAGAAGTAATTAAGAAAGAGTTGAAAAAACAAGATGTCATTGATGGTAAATGAATTTCAATAAAAAAAGAAGGTAAAATAGAAACAAACACCTATATAATGACATTAACTCACCAAAAATACCAGAGAAAATTAAAGTAGACTATACCATGGAGAGGGTTGAGCAGTTTGTGCCTAACCCTCAGATGTTATAAATGTCAAAAATATTGACATCATGAAGATAGGTTTCTGGAAAAAAAAATGTTGCCAGCTATACGTTTCTGGAAAAAAAAAATGTTGCCAGCTATACGTTTAATAGTACTATATATATATATATATATATATATATATATATATATATGTGATCTAACTTAATTTGGCATTAAATGACCTACAGTGGTTGATATGGCATAAAAACCAACCAACCAACCATCAGTAAAGATAGGCTACTATGCTGTTAGATTACAATTTTTCTATAAAATACAATTCAATAAATACAATAGTTTATTTTATGACAATACATTATCTAGGCTCATGACTACACAAAATACAAGAAGACTCCTTCATCACAGCATTATCTTTATAGCCATAAGTCACTTTCAGGCTTGCATCTATTGTAAGAGCATTACTAGTCACTTCTTCAAAGATCTGTGAAGCCACAGCTTCCATTGTACAAAATGGCCAGAAGTATGCAATGACAAAAGAATTCATCCATTCTTTAAGTGCTGATCTTCATTGTCAGAAGTCAACATGTTTTCATTTTGCAGAGCACATGATTGTCCCATCTTCATTATATGAAAGATTGATAAAACAATTCCATCATGGTCATCAAGGTATTATCCGTATGAAATCTCTAGCACACAGTTATATTTATTAGCAAAACATGGACAAGCAGTTGTATGACCCTTCTTGCTGGTTGATTCTAGATCAGTCTTTACACTGGTCAGCACTGCTGCAAGTCATTGTAATCTGCGTCCTGTTTTGCCCCATGTTGTATTTTTTTGATCATGGAGCTGGCAAAGACTAGTTGTCGTCAGCAATTGCAGCGCTGGTTTGATCACGGTGAAGCTATGTCACAAAGGAAAAATAAATGTTCTTTGCAGATGAAATAAAGAAAAAACAGGAATTTCTTAAGAGTTTATTTTCTATGTGGTTTATACCGTTCTTTGCACAGAAATATCAATGCTTTCCACTTTGAATTCTATCATGACATATTGCTCAATTTAGCTAAGTCTGGAACAAGTCAGGAGTTCTCTTTGGCAGCAAGTCATGTGAGATTTGGCAGCTCTTTCTGTCTGGTATCATCTGGGTCTCTGGCTGGTAACACTGGAACTGGGGCTGGTTGCTTCAGTGTTCTACTTATATTGACTTTTATCCAAGACTGGCATGGGATTGACCTGGTAGGTGAAACACCAGGTCCCCCAATTTTCCAACAAGAGTTCTTTCTTGTCTAGCTTTGGAAAATTAATTGTCTATCTAAATTTGGGGGACCTCTTTTCCATGGGCAGTTGTAGGTACTTACCTGGAGTGATAACTCTTTCTTTCTCTTATTTGTTCCTCGTACTATTATTTCCCAATGGGCATAGGTGATTCCTTCTTGGTATTTCACCTATGCCTGTCACCCCAGTTGTCATTTTGACGAATCTGGTTTTCAAACTACATGGTGTGGTTTATCTTCTTTTAATTAGAATTATCATTTTAATTTTTCGTACGCAAATTTTTCCCAGCCTAGTCTTGTTCATACAATCTGAAATTTTCCAGTTGTTTCTGCCGGCAGCTATCTCCATATCTTGTTAGCTCAATTGCATTTTAAGAACCCTGGGCCAGGTCTTTACATAAAGAAATTCTATTTCTCAACTTGTCTTTAAAAATTACCAATTATCTTTTCAATCGGCTTTCTTTTGTGTAGGGTCCATAGATGTTTTTGTAACTTCCACTTTATGGCAGTGTCATCAATCAATTATCAGTCAGGCTTTTTCCAGAAGGCCTCTGTGGTAATATCTTTCCCCAAAATAACAAAGTCACTTTCTTCAAGCTGTCTCTGCTTAAAAAAAAACTTTCAACATTAAAAGCAATTTCACTCTATCTCTCAGTTTGTCTACCATTCCATTCTTTAACCCTTTTTGTTTATTCCAAGTTATATTTTAATTTTAACTCTTTTCTTTCTGTTTGTCGGTGTCACATAGTGTCACAGTTGGAGGAATTTGTACACACATGTCACAATTGCCAACTAGCAGCAAAATCTCTCAGGAAAGCTTCACTGAGTTCCTGGCCTATACCTGAATTACCCTGGTCACGATTTCACATTGATTTTGCTGGATCCATCAACAGGCAGTATTATATTATCCCTGTTGATACTTACAGCAAATAACCGGAAATTTTTCAGAAGTATTGCATCACCTCAGATGAAACAATTCTTAGGTTAAAGTAAATATTCACTCAATTTGAAGTACCACAGATACTGGTTTTTTATAATGGCACTATTTTCATTTCAGCTGCATTTTCAATTTTCTGTGCACAATCATATTCAACGCATCAGAACATCTACAATCAAATGGACAAATGGAGCACTTTTTAGATACTTTTAAGGGAGCACATCTCAAGCTTGAAGGGTAGGGAATGACAAGAAATATTCCTCTGAAGTTACAGAGCTGCACCCTATCCAAGTGCACCTAATTCACCAGCAGAATAACTGTTTTTTTGTTTTACGGCATATTAACCTCAACGGGTTATTTAATTTCCATGATTTTTTTTTATTGCTAGTAATATATATTTTTTTAAAAATGTATTGCTGGTAATGTTTTTTTTTTTTTTTTTTTTTTTTTTAATGTATTGCTGGTAATAATTTTTTCCTCAAAAATTTTTTGCTGGTAATAACTTTTTACAAAGTATTTCTGCTTTAAAACCTATTTTTAAACTTTCATAGTGTTGTGACCCCAGTTTGGAGGTTAATCATTTGCCCATAGCTGGGACCCTAACAGGTGCCACCACCCTGAGTCAGTGTGCACTTGGGAACATCAGCAATTAGGAGGTGGTTCTACACTCATCAAAACCTCCTGATCTGCATCCTTGCTGTTGGACGTAGTTTATCATCATGCCCAGGACACGCAGAATCACTGATGATCTGTAAAGTTTGTTTACACATAGATTTCATCCATCCAACTACAAACCATTCCCTTAAATGGAATGCAGTGATGGAAGACCAATTTAACCATCATCATGGAGCAGTAAAATGCAAATATATACCAGGGCAACCTGTACTTGTAAAATGGTTAAGAAAAATGGATTCAAGGATGCATTATATGTTGCTCCAAAAATGTTACATATGACATGGATATACACAGTCCAGGTTTTGACGTACAAACCAGTTACGACTATCAAACCTTCTAGAAACCAAATCAAACCCAAGGATATCACATGACTATGAAGTAAGCCATACCCACTGCACTTAAATCCCCGACGAAAGTCATACAAGCACAAGGCTAAAAAGGGAAGGTGTTAGGGGAAGCTGATTTACTTCACTTATAAAGAATGATAACTCAAAATACAATTGGGTTACTTCTTTTGTCTTGAAAGTAGAGTGTGGCACTTCTGAATTAAACATAGTGACTAGCTGACATGCACATGGAATTCATAGTTTAAATCCGAACAAATCCTTGCTGTTCTCGAGCAGTAAATGAATAAGTTGTTTTTTTATGTGTTAAAATACTCTTGTCTTTTATTTTTTTTTGTTCATCCCAACAACCTGGAATATAATGTTTTGTCAAGTTTCATTTGTAAATTAACAGAAACAAAATCAGTGTATTTAAATATAATATAAAATAAATGTAATGTTGGCTTCTAAAAATAACAAAACTTTTTTTTCTAAATGGACATAAAATTTTAAAAAAATATTAACCTTAGAAAATAGATGTCTTGCTGAAAATGTTGAAAAATTATGCAGGTAAAACAACTTCTGTTACAAGTTACTTTTCTCTATCTGTTGGATAGATATTCAACTAGAAATAATAATTCCATAAATACTATATAGAAATATATTTCATGTATGATTTGTACATTTATAAAAGTGTGAGAAGATGGATCAGCCTTCTCTATTCTTGTTTAGTTTGTCTTGGCTTATTTATTCATTATTATATGAAAAGAAAGTATTTTTGTTGACCAGTCAATGTTTCTTGGTTTTCTACAGTGAGTAGTTTATTCAAAATTAGCTTTAAAGTCCTTTCTTTTATATATATATATATATATATATATATATATATATATATATATATATATATATATATATATAAAATTTTTTTATCCTTTAATGTTTTTTGTCTTTTTTTATTACAGTAAGGTTCATCCTGTACAAGGCCTGGGAGCCATTTGAAGTAGAGGGTTACAGAGTAAGAGGCACAGGTTATGCGAATATGTGGGGAAGATAACGGTTAACTCTATACTTGAAAAGGTTAAGATTGTAGTGATCGAGTAAACACCCTCTTATGAGTCTGTTCCCCAGAGCAGTGATTTGTGGGAAGAAGCTTACTTTTCACCAATCAAATATGGAGGTAATGAGGTGGTTTGCTACAATGTAAATGGCATGGCAGGTCCTAACTGTGAATGTTAGAACTGGTGGAACCAAGGGATGCAGTTTGTCTGAGCATTTTTCATGGAAGTAGTGATAGAGCAGTGAGATGTTTACCACATCCTGTCTGTCAGAGAGGGGTTCCAGGGTGGAAAATAATTTGTCACACACAAGGACGTGAAGACTTTTGAACTCTCTTGAGACTGGAAAGTGAGGACTGGGAAGCTCTTGCCCGAATATGACAGCAGTATTCCATTTTAAGCCTGATCTGGCTCTTGTAAAGGTTGAGTATAGCACAAGGAATCGGGTATTTAATGGATTGGTACAGGGAACCAACCATTTTTCCAGTGTCTTTAGTGATGGTACGAATTCCACTTGAGGTCTGGGGTGGGTTTAAGACCCAATAGTCTCTTAAGCCATGAGGCCTTCCCAAGCGGAAATCCATTCATAGTGACTGGTGGTAGTTCGGGATCTGATTGGTGGTGATGGACTGTAACTAGTTTGGTTTTCAAGGAAATGAATATAATCAACTAGTTTTCCCCCCTGACTGAGATGTTAAGAGCTAGATTGATCAGCTGGCAATTTTCTGGTTATCACTAGCTTTGGAGGTGCATCAATATATCATATCAGTAACATAGATATTCACAAATAATCTGAGTATACTCTTAGGCAGATTGTTTATGTAGAGTAAAAAGTAGGTTGATCTGTGACGAGACTCCTGGGGGACGGCTGCATTGATTGCCATGGCCCTGGAGGACTAACTGAACTACCTTCAGGGACCTACCTGTTAGGAAAGACTTTTTTAGTTGGTTATATTGAGTTTTTCTTTTTCTGTTTTTATAGATGATGGTGCCATATCCTGGGAAGAATTTCTTGCATTCTTTGCTGATGGAGTCATGGGGAAACAAGAACTTAAGTCACTATTTGAGGAAATTGATACTCATAATACAAAGTAATCCAACTTTACATGTGTAGAGAGCATGAATGTGTATGTTTGTGTGTGAGATACCATTTTTATTTCTTTGTTGATTTCTGTTTGAATATGTATGTGTGTGTCTCTGTGAGATATATATATATATATATATATATATATATACACACACACACACGATATTGTCATTTATCACTAATATTAATGTTTTTGTTATTAAATTCCTTTAACAAGATTGCTTTGAATGTATTGTGAATTAATATACCTTTGTATAAATATTATTAATAAGCAAAAGCATGACTATTTAATTCTAATACTAAGGATAGAAGCAAATAAGTAACATATCCAATATTTAAAGAAATTTCTCAGATGGTGATGTGTATATGGTGAAGAGTTTTCTCTTATGAGTTTCTTGTGGAGAATCAAAGAAATTGATTTGAACAAATGTTGCTCTCATTTAGACCAACTGAATGCAGCAATCGATAAAAATTTATTCAGAATTATTCATAATATTCCTTAAGGATAATGCTAGTTTGCATTTTTATTTGTTTGCTAGGTAAAAATTGCTATTGCTTGGCTGGGAAGTCTTTACTTATCTATTGCATTCACCATATATTGTATCTTTCAATTATCATTTATTCTGTTCTTTACAAAATTTTTGCAATGATAAAAATGCAGGTGTTTGCTGAGAAAGATAAAATTCTGGGATTATGCAATTATTAAGTTAAATAAAACATAGCAGATGATGGGGGACCATTTTTATTGTTCAATAAAGTTAATATTAACAAAAAAAATTTTTATACTTATCAAATTGAACAAACTTTTTGGCCAACTGTTATATTTCAGTCATCTTAGAGAACTATTTTTGTCTTCTATCAGCATATCTGATGCCAGCCTCCATGAGAGCAACTCATTGTGCCTCCTTGGTCACCCACTGACATAAAGTGGAATGATTATATTGAATCATTTACTAGGTCTACTCCTAAGAAAGTTGGTTCACAGAGTTGTGCCAGACAATTTTACTTGCCAGAATCTATCATGTACACTTATAAATCTACTATTTATCTGTGCATTGAATATTGCAGCCAAATCTGATTTAGTGCTCCAGTTATATATCTTGATTCTTAGCAAAATCCAAAATAGAGTATACAATGCTATCGGTCCTGACATGACTGCTGTGATGTGGCTTTCTTGTGTTTTTTCTACAAATATTTTCATGGCTAATTTTCTAATGAGCTTTTCTCTTTGGTATCTTAACTGAATGAATACTATCAGATTGGTAATTTGGTCTCCTTGTTTTAGTGTGGAAATCAGTAGATGTTGCCTTAAGTTTTATTCAAATAGTTTTTCTCTCACTTTTTGCTCGTGGAACTCTTCTGTTTTCCTGCTTTTCTACCATCTATGATGTTCAAAAATTTAAATGCAACATCAGTTGTCATCTTCTATCTTCCTGCACCCTGTTCTTTTATCCTTGTTTTCCATCAGTAATGTCTACACATTTTCTTTCACTCTCAGTAACACCTTGCATCTTAGTGGGATGAAGTGATAAAAAATAAAAATGCTGAATTAGTTTCTACAATGTGTATGTCTAAAAGATAGAATTGTAAATTATCGACAACAAAAATTGTACTCTCATAAGATAATTCAATTATTCTGTTTGTGGAATCTTTGATTTCTGAAAATCTTTGATGTGTTTACTCACTCCAAAAAATCCATTGCCATACTTATGTTACATTAATGCTTCAAGTTCTATTAAAAAGTTACCCTTTGTCTATAAGGTGCAGGTATTTTTTTCTTAAATTGTTAAATTTGATTAAAGCAATGTGAAACATGATATTGCCTCTTTAATTCATATGTTCATTACTGACTGCTATCTCGGTGCATATGTATCAGGTATTGATGAAGTTTTAGTTCTATTATCAAACTTATTTCATTGTTATATCCTTGAGATATATATTCTGTATTAGTTACAAATATACAATCATACATCTTTGAATATTTTTAGTGGAATTTTTAGGCAAGCATTAGGACTGTCTTAATTCATAATATCTTTGTAATTTCAGTAATATTGATACAGAAGAGTTATGTGCTTACTTCTCTCAACACCTTGGAGCATTTAAAGACATTTATGCTGTTCTTGATGATCTGAATTCCAATATGACAAGTGTATTGTTTTCTACTTCTCAAGTAAGTATGAATCATTACAGTTGGAGAGAAATATCCTTTATCTTTTATAGTTTTATTTGCAGATAATTTGAAGAAATTGATGGATATTTAATTTTGGCATTATTAATTTCCAATTCTTTTTTTTTATATACTGTGTTTGTTTGAAATATTTCCTATTAGAAGTTCTTGGTCTATTGTCCTGTGTTTCCCTTGTTCTCTCTGCTGTGGCCAGGTATTGAATTCTTTGGGTCAAGTCACTTTTTGGATTACTCGAACTAACACGGGTGTCTTTAGGAACGTCAGTGATTGAATTTTTGGGACTTAAAAACCCGATGTCTCAGTAACCATGTTTTTTTTATCAGTGCTCATATTCTGTTATTGTTGTTTTTCTCTAGCTTTCTGTATTACTGGTTCCCACATTGTATTCATGTCTATGCTTGGCTGGCTTAGGAGATTTTTGTGGTCTAGCATATGTGCTGATTCCTTAAGTTTTTCCAGTGATGTTCTGTCTAGTATTTTAACTTCATCCCACAGAGTGGTGATCTCCCTTTTCTCTCCATATATGATCAGCCATGCCTGATTTTTCTATTTTCCCTTGTGTTACGGTGTTCTAGCAATCTTATTTTAATGGGGTGGCTTGTTTCTCCTTTATATAGCAGCCTTGGTCTGCATACTCTATGTAAAGGGCTTATTATACAAAAGACCTTGCTTCATATAACATCAGGATGACCTTCAGGAGTGGTTCAGCACTATGTAGAAACCTATTTCGAGTAAGACCACTTATAGAAGAGAACATTATTAAGGACTGTGTGTATGTCATCACTGTGGCAAGATATATAAAGTAGAGATAGACTGCAAGAACACCATAAAGCTGTAACACAAGGGAAAATAGAAAAATCAGACATAGCTGATCATATATGGAGGGAAAAGGGAGATCACCACCCTGTGGGATGAAGTTGAAATAATGACAGAGAACATTCCTGAAAAATCTTAAGGAATCAGTGCATATGCTTGGCCACAAAAATCTCCTAAGCCAGTCAAGCATAGACATGAATAAAAAATAGTAACCAGTAATACAGAGAGCTAGAGAAAAACAACAATAACAGAAATTGTAATATGTGCTCTGGTTTAAAAAAAAAGAACAAAATGGTTACTGGGACATTAGGTTTTAAGTCCCAAAAATTCACAAAATGGCCCAGTGGATAAGTGTTGATAAAAAGTGACTTGACCCAAAGAGCTGGATTCAAACCTGGCCACAGCAGGGGGGACAAGGGTGAGATGAGTTACTAAAGGGAATTAACAGAGATATCCAAAAAAGCATGGCACGTGGAATTAGAGCAATCTACCCTGTGGACAAAATAAATGGTTTGTTATGAAATTTCAATATATATCAACTAAAGGAGTTGAATATGACAATAAACAACAATTGTCTGAATTGTGTAAATATCTAAATAGTTATTTCTTTTCAGCTCTGCAATCCTAAAATATAGTTTTGAAAAAGTCTTGTCTTAATAAATCCAAGGTTTGAATTCTTAATATTAGCTTTCAGCCCACTGTTTGTCTTGGAACAGCAAAAATATGTAATTATGCTGAAATATATATGTTATACATTCCAAATACTGTGTTATTAAAATAAACTTATGATTTACTAGAATTAATTTAATAATTTATGTAAACTTTATTCTGATTTTGTAGACTTATAAAGAGTCCTCAAGAAATGAACAATTTGTCACCAGATTTCTTCTGCATGAAATCTTAAATCAATTTTGCGCTGTGCAGCGTGCAATGGAGAATGCTTCTGATGCTCTTGATGAACAAGCAAGGGAACAGAAGTGAGTATTACTTTACTATTAAAGTTTTTTTAAAATATTGCTACTTTTTTAAAAAATGTATTGTTTCTGATTTGAGAAAAAAAAGTTATTTGATACTTTTTTTTTTTTTTTTTTCAAAAGTGTTCACTAATTTAGTTCAGCAAAGACTTTGTATAAAAAATGTTTGTGATGTGTACATATTTAATGTAATGAATATCACCAAGAATGAAAGGAACTTTCTGTGCAAATGGGTTCAGTAATTTTTGTTGATCTCATAAAAACATTAACCAATTCTGAAATATGCACAAAAATTTTATGAATTTATTAACTTTTATTTTTTTTATTTTTTAGCAGAAAAAAAATGATTATCTGAATGATATAAATAAGAGCATCAGCACATTAGAGATATTCTGTACATAAAGAGATTTGTGTGTGTTTTTTTTTTTACTAAATCATTTCCACTGTAAAAACTACAAAGCACAAATAGAATTTAATTTGCTATATTGATCTGTAGTATTTATTGGCGTAATTCTTTATTATCCTTAGCTCTTTGTTCAATTTCCTACTTTTGTGTATGTAAAAACTAAAATTTTATTTTTTCATATTTATATTTGTAGGAATGTCCCCCTTCATTATATTAGCTATAAAATCCATTTTCGTAAATATTTGTGCTAAATTTAATGGAGTTATTTGGTTGTTGTGAACTTCTAAGTCAGAAAGTGAAATTCTTACAACCTGGTTCAGTGAAATAAACAGAAATATCACAAGAAAAGATTGAGAATAATTAACTAATGAGATAATGTTTACCATGTACAAGAAAATGAGAATAATCTACTTTTCGGGATTGAATAAAAATCAAAATTCTAAGAAGATAACCTCAAGTGACAAGTACTTGATGAAAGCTGGAAGGTACAAGGGTATATCAGTTTTACTAATCTGTGTATAATATTTTCTGGAGTATATCATTTTGTAAAAGTTTCTCTCACACACACAAACACACACACATATATATATGTATATGGAGTGAGAGAGATGTATATGGGTAAGGGCATATTTTAAAAAATTAGTAGACAAAATTTTAAGAGTTTGTTTCTGTTAAATATTTTAATATAAGTGAACAATGTGAAAATTATAGTTATTGCAAGAATAGGCAGAGAATAAATAAAGAAAATCCTAAATTCAGATAATAACATAGATAAAAAAAAAAAAAAACAACTGACAAAATCTGCGATTGTAAAATTTAAGAAAAAAAAAATTATGCCTGATTAAAGGGGAATGCCAAAGAAGTAATATTGTGTATCAGACAACCATTGGATCAGATGGACCTAACCAAGAAAAGATATATATAGCTATGGAAAATGAATGGATGAAAAAGAGTCTGAGCAATAATGATGACTGCATTATTATTTTATCATTAGAAAACTAAGGAGGAACTAGGGAAACCACTAGAGATTTCTTGAAAGATAATAAAAGTCTTCTGCATGTTGGGGTAGTTCTGGCAAATGCACATTGTGTATGGAGAGAAAATTAGCAATACTAAAATTGGTAAATGTTAATAGATTATTAAATAACAGGTCTCAGTTGATAGCTAACTGTAAGCACATTAACAAGTATTTGCTCTGTTACCTTTTTTTTTCAGTTATTCTTGTATATTTTGTTGCTCAAATTTTCTAACTTTTTCTTAGTGATATCGTTCAGGTTGCTTCAACCACTACATGTTTTATTTTTTTTTTCATTATTATCTTTTTCCTCGTTCAGATGATACTTTTTTTTACAGTTATTTTTTCAATTTTCCCCTGTGTGATAGGTATAGTTGGAGGTTGGATTAAATGAAGAAAACTTACATTTTAGTTTGTTTTCTCAATATGTTTCTCTTTTGCATTTGCATGCTGGAGTATTTTTGTTTTCCATTGACCAAAGCAGTATAATAGATCTTCTTTCATGGATTGTCTTGGAAGTTCTGTTTTCTTCTTTATTTCTGGGATGCACTCAAAATGAGCTCCTTTGAGTACAGATTTGATTTTAGAGAAAAGATATGTTGGATCAGATAAATAGGTTTAGTGGTGAGCTACTTAAATAATTAAATGCATAAGATTTCTTATAGGAATATTTTATCATACATGAAATTATGGTGGTTAAAGAGTACATGTACAATATAATAGACCAATGCAAGATAACATTAGACAAATTGACAAAAGGAAATTTAAAACAAGAGTTGTTAGATGTCAGTTGTATACATAATGAAATTCGTGATTGTGTTATAGTGTTTGTGTGTTTAGCATTTGCAGCCCTTTTAGCTTCAGCATGTAAAGTTCATGACACCAGTTTGAAAAAGGAAAAAACTAGAAGAGACAGAGAGAGAGTTACTTTAGGATTCATGTGTTTTTTATATTCAAGAGCTTTTGCTGATATGAATAATGCTGATATGAATTTTATTTTAGGGCTGCTACTGCTATTATGTTTAAGGTCACTACATAAGGATGGAGGTCAAGTGCTACAATTCATTTCTTGACCAAAAACTGCTTCTCTGAGAGTACTGATACATCCTTCTGATGAAGGATAAAATCATTTTCTCACAGTTGTGACTTCTTTTTTCTGACACTTTATCGCAGTTTGTAAGGCTTGTTTATAGGTGTTGATTAATTGCTGTTTCATTTAATGTTTTGTTCAATTTTTGAACTGACTTTTTACAACCCATTATCAAAACATGTTGACTTTAAGAAATGCATAACAGTAAACTGATGATGTGTTGATCTTTTTATCTTTAACAATACTTAAAGCTCTGCATAATGAAGTTTTACAATATCGCATTGGTTTATTCCAATTGGGTGATAAATTTGAAAAAGTTAGTGTTGAAGTAGTCCCTGCTTTTACTAATACCCAATTTCACATGTAATATTTTCTTGTGTTAGATTTTATAATGCTATATTTCATAGAATGTTCTTGTTTAAACAAGATTTGCCTTATTCATTAATCTGTTTTCTTGTAGAGTTGGCTGGTTTGGCAATTTATGTTTTGGTATCATTTTCTGTTTTTTTTTCTTGATACCATAGTTTTTGATTCAGTTTTCATTTAGTATTTTTGCTTTCTAAGGAAGCCATGCATTTTCTTGTGTAATGATAGCATTTCCAGTCGATATCTGATTTCATTTGAGATTGATAAATTTGCAACTTAGTCTGTTCAACTTGCAATATCTCGTGTATTTCTGGTCCAATCTTAAAAGTATTCATATGGCTGCAAAGAAAATAATCTTTCTAAATATGTAATTTGTATATGTTTTTATTCACTGAATTATTTTTTTTTACAGCGAGTTAAAATGGTATTTTGCTTTGAACAGTTGAAAATGCAAAATTATGATTTTTTTTTTTTTTTTTGAGACTAAATTTTACACGTTACTTCGTTTTGCAAAATCAAAGTGACCAATCTTTATCAATATTATTGAAATTGTACACTCAATTAGAAGACATCTAAAACTACAACCAGGAAGATGTTCATTTCTTCTCTGACCTGAGGAAGCAAATTCCTTCAAAAATTATAAAGTAAGCGCAAAAAAAAAACAACTGATAGTAATAAATGAACTTTCAAATTATTGAAACTACTGTCTGACACTGACTAGTGGTTAAAAAAGAATAATTTTTAACTTGAGTTTTTAAAAAAAAAAAATAACTTGCAGTTTTGAAAATATACACATTTTAAAACTGTGATTAAAACTTACTTTATTTTTTTAATATCTAATTTTAGGTGTATTATTTGCTATATAGAAACAATTTTTTTTATTTGTAGAAAAGAAACAATTTTAGACTAGACACTCACATATCTGGAAATAACATTTTAAAAGTGAGTGCATTCCCTAGATAAAAAATCAAATTTATTTATAAAAAAAAAAATCTTCATTCATTTTGTTTACAACAACTTTTTGTGACAGATGTACTATTGGCTTACTAGAAAACTCTTACAAAAAAATCTGATTTCATAAAATTTAACATTAAAACAAAAATGGCAACTACTTTTTTATTTTTACTCGCTATTTTGTTGTTAACTGAATTTTATCACAAAGTTTCTTTTTTAAACTGAAACAAATAGATTTCAGACATGTGTTTCCTTTTTTTTCTTCTGCATTTCTTTTGTAAACAAATAGATTTCACATTTATATTCTAAAACTAGTCAAATGTTTTTAACATATTTGTGTTCAATGTTTTTCTCTTACAATGGTATAAATGTTGATAAAATTTCTTTTTCAATAGTGTTTCTTTAGATATGGTCATTCAGTAGTGATAGCACTTAAAAAAAAAAAAAAATGAATGATTTCAGTTTCATAAAAAATTTTTGATGTAGTCTCACAGTATGAAGATGAAATTGAAAAAAATTGTTTTTTCGGTTAAACTACCCATCTCTATTTTCTTGTGTAGTGTAAATCTGAGGTGATTGAAGAAAAGTAGAATTTCATTTAAATATTTTAAATTTCAATTTATACAGTGTTTTAAAAAATTAAGTTGATATTTCATTTGAAATTAAGGAATTAAATAAGCAAAAGTTCTACAAAATTGAAATGAAAAGCATAAATTACTATATTTGATAACATGTTGAATCAGGACAGGATAATAAAATTTTTGGAGGTTGAAGATAAATTTCTCATTTAATTTTGTTAAAGGTAAAAAGGTCAACATTTATAAAATCAGGGATTGATCCTAACCTTTTAGAAAAATGTGAGAAGTGCTGTCTGGCAAGACGGTACTCTAAAGCTGGGAATGTTCTCAAGAAGGGCTGCATTCAATTGTCTAGCTTTGTTCTGATATATAGAAATTTATATATCATATGTATGTATGTATATGTAAAATCTCCACGTATAACATAACTCTTATCAAGTAAAAAGTGGTGATACAGAGCTTTCTGGTTTAAATAACATTATTCCCTTTATTGTTTCAGTTACATTGTTAGGTTTTTGTTTATACCTAACCAAAAGCTTTTCCACTTTTAAGCATAAGTGGTTATGCAAAATGTAAGCACTTTCAATAAATATTTTGTATCTCATGGGTACAAAAAAAAATAAAAAATGAGGTAACTCAGAAAGTTATTAGTCCATGAATCTAAGTGTGTTTGGGTAATATCAACCTTTTTCTAAATTTACTCTGTAAAATTTCTCTGTCTATCCTCTGCAAATGCACAAACTGTTATTTCTGATAATGTTCTTTGCTATTGTTATTTTGAAATAATTTTGTTTCCCTTATTTGGTAATATTGCATAGTAGAAATAAAACATACTGTTTATTTAAAAATTATACATATTAAAACTTGTAACATTCTTGTTTTTTATCTATTAAACAGATTCATCTTAATTAAAAATAAGAAATTTTAGATTAATTTGTATGAATGTAAACTCAATTACCCTAAATAAGGGTGCTTTACATTTAATTTATTTCATATTTTGTTTCAGTGAAGATATTGTTCCAGTAATGTTGGATACTCCTCCAAAGGTTGCAAGTTCTGTTATTCCTGGACGTGTTGCCCGAAGAGCTAGACGCCAGATGTCAATGCCAAATCCTTCTTCAGGCACTACTGTTGCTGACATTGAAAGTACGTTAAAATATATAAAAAATTTATACTTACCTAAATGGAGTTGCTAAAATTTTACATTGGATTTATTTACTTGATGTTGTGATCACAAAATGTCATTGTTATATGAGGGTCAGCTGAAAAGTTCATAGGCTAACCAATGTAATCTCATGGAATGTGATTTAGTCCTCCTTGCAGTCCACACATTCTTCCATTGGTGTTGCAATGCTTGGATCCCATTAGTGAAGAAGCTTTCATCCTGTTGGTCAAAAAAGTCATCAACAACAGATATAACCTCATAATCCCTGCAATACTGATTCCCAGCCAAGCATTTTTCATGTTGCAGAACAGATGATAGATGAGGGCAAATCAGGAAAATAAGGAGGGTGATCAAACAGATCAAAGCCACAGTCAGATACAGCAGCCATTGAAACCAAGGACTTGTGTGCTGGAGCATTGTCCTCGTGAAACAAGACTCCTTTTATCAATTTCCCTGGGTGTTTGGTGTTGATAGCCTTTTAGTAACTGTTTCAGCAAGTTGGCATAATATTCTCCATTGATGTTGTGGCCCTTTTGAAGATAGTCAATAAATACAATGCATTTTGCATCCCAAAAAACTGAGGCCATTGCCTTCCATGCAGATGAAACAGTCTTGGCCTTTTTTGATGCATGTGGAGTGGGGTGTTTCTAATTTATAGATTGTCTGTGATGAACCCAACACACATCCTGGGTTAGGAAATGTTCAAGGTTACCAGCTGAATCTGTCTCCAACAATATCACAGTTTCCCATGATTTGATAGCCTGGTGTGCTTTTGATCAGTTGTCAGATGTGGAACCCACTGAGCAGAAACCTTCATCATGCCAAGTTCATTGTAGAGAATATTCTCAAATCTCTCACTGTAATAGAATTGGCTATTTGATTTATAGTCAATTGCTTGTCATCCATCACCAGTGTTTTATTTGGTGGTGGCATTTGCATAATATCCAGACCTTGAGTGATTTCAAGACTCTCCCTTCCTCTCCTAAATTCAGCTGCCCACTTTTGCATGGTTGATAAAGCTGAATCGTCCTCCTCTAATGTAGCAACCATGTCAACATAAATGTCCTTGGGGGGGGCCTAAACTTATTTTTTTTCTGCAGGAACTTGATACAGTAGTCCACTGCTATTAGATGAACCAGTTTACTGTGGTACCTGGTGTACTGTGGGTGGTGGACACCAAGATTTTGCTCTTGTAGCCTCAATATTGCTCACTTTTTTTGAAATTCTACCCTATTTTATTTTACCAATTTCTGAGCCATCTTCATGATAGAACAGTGATCATCAGATGGTCCTAATTTTTTTTAATAATTACACTCTTTTTTCACATGTTTTACTTTGATTCTGATGATCATACAGCCCAAATTTTGCAAAATCTTAACACCTCGGCTGTTTCACACTTAATCCAATTGGTAATAATTACACAGGATTACTTTATATTATATTATTATTATTATATCATGTTTAATTCGAAAATAACAAAGAAATTTTGATGAAATCTACCTTTGGAGTCATCAACAATAAAAGTTCACTCATTTGTGTCATAGCAGCCATTACTGGTGTTGTTTGCATATATTTGCTGTGGAATAGACATTCACTTTTCTTGATTATTGCATATGCACTAATGCAAACATCCCCAATAATGGCTACTGTGCTGTAGCCAACGACATGAAGGAATCCAAACTTTTATTGTCGATAACTCCAAAACACTAGATTTTATAAAAATTTCTTTGTTATTTTTGAATTAGGCATGTAAATTTAGAATAAAAAAATAACTGTCCGGGGAGTTTTTACTAGATACTTAGTGTGGTGCTTAAAAGGAAATTACCCAAAATTTCTTATGGAATCATTGGCATAAATTAGTATAATTTTTTGAGATTCTTTTTGATTCATTATCTACGGTATATATCATGAAATAGGAAAAATAGGGCCCAAAAATTGGATAGTTGTTCAACCTCCTATTATCGTGTACCCCTAGAAAAGCTTATTGGACAAGCTGAGAACTTTTCAGCACTCCTCATATTCTTTTTCAATAAATATATTCGTTTTTTCTTATACCTGTATATACTCATGGTTGTTAGCAATTATCTCTAACAATAGAAATAGGAAAGAACAGTACTATTAAATACTGTGATCATTAGTGATGTCAATAATATAACAGTAATGATCAAAACCTGTTAACAGGATTTTACTAGGTATATATTTTTAGAAATAGTCAATTCAAAGGTCTGTTTCTGTATGCATTCTGAAGAGACTATTGATACATATATCTACCTGTTCTACTCTAGCACCAAATAAATTTCAAAATAGGCTTGACAGGATGTAATTGAAAGATATGCCAACATTATAACCTTCCCCCAGAAAATGGATATAAGTGAAAACCACCATCATTTCTAGGTGATGGTGTTATGGAACTTATCAAATTTGTTTTCTGAAATGTCTTTAAGCTGCAAATATATGGATCTGGAAATAGAAATTGCAAGAAAGTATAACTTAAATACAAACATCATTGCAGCAGTTTTAGGAATGCTTGGGATGGTTAAGAATACTGCTACATGCACTAAGAAAATCCTATTTATTTATTTATTATTAATATTAATAATAATAGTCCCCCTACTTACTATTCAAACAAGAATACTCACAACATTTTTGTTATTATATCTGCCAGCTTTTCTTCAGGTTTGTATTATTTGATAACATCTTAAAATTTTGAAGTGATCTTTTTATTCAAGCCATGGGAATAGATTATTCTCATTCTACTTTCATTACTTAGGGGAAATCTCATATCAATTCAGTCTAGTCTATTTGACAATTGTGCCAGTTACCTGTTTCTTCCACTGACCTAGAGTATATGACTTCTGCACTACTTGACCAAAGAGTTTTACTTGTGCCTTTTGCATTTTTTACATAAACCAGATATGACTGCTTGATGACCCAAAGCAGACTGTGTAGATATGTTTTCTCCATGTATACATCTGCTGTAATTAAAACAAAATTAATAACATTATGACCAGTCAGAACCACTCCCATTCAAAACACCAAAACTATACTTTGTAAGTGACTAAAAACTATATATATATTCAAACAGACCAGCGTTTGATGTCACCGCCGACATGCTGTGAGAGTGACACTACTAACAATGACAGAGGCCATCACCATTGTCCATTTCACTTCTAATTTCATCACCCTCTCTTCCTGTTGTTACTAAGGCAACAACAGATAGAAGTTACCAGTCTTTGTATATATGTAAATAAATTATACATATATTTACCTCTACTCAATGTCCTTTTTTTGTTTGATGCCAAGGCAGGGAGGAAATTAACCTCCACAAGAGTAACAACATCAAGGTTCTGTCTTCCAGCTTACCCATTTCTGCTTCCACAACAGAAACTCAGAACTGCCAGGAAACCAGATATACTTCAACCATCACTTTAATCTCTGGGTTGATTTGTGCAGAAAAGTTACATACTCTTGTTTAGTGGAAAAAGAGAACAAATGACCTAAAGTCAAATAGACTGGAGAGCATGAACTGATATGAGATGAAATTATAAATTTAAAATGTTTTACTATTTCCATCACTATCAGGATTATTTTGTTGCTTTTTTTGTTGCAAATATGTACAATAAATATCAAACTTTACTAATACTATATTGTATTTCAAAGGAAAAATAACTTATAAATAATTTCCGAGTTACTTTCCTTGAATTTGTAGACATCATACTTTTCCATTCAAAATCGATTAATTGATTCATTAAACATTCATAAAAATATAAGTGCTGAAGTTTAACCTTACCGTCTTGTTACTACAAATTCTCTAACAATAAGCATAAAACTGAATTTTTAAATGCATATATGTCTTTGCTGTGTCATATTTATATTTTTTTTAGTTTGGTTCATTGAAACTTGTAGTACTAATAAATAATTGCTAGAATCATGACTATAATACAGTTTATGGATTTTTTTTTAATGCGTGATAAATGAAAAATGTAAATTCATCAAAATCCAATTTGTAAAGAAATACTGAAGTAGATACAGACTTGAACTCAAATCTTGTTCTTAGAAGCATGGTTTACTTATCTGTTTATTTGATTAGTTAAGATGTTTTCTAATGTGAACAAATAAGACTGGAAAAATTGAAAGGAATTTGTGAAAACTATTGATGATGCAGAACTACTTACAATAGTGTATGGCCTCTGTTTGTTTTCAGTTGGTGGAATTCCTCCTCAAGTATCTCTATCTACTCAAGTATACCGTCTCTCAAGCTTAGTGGATAGATTGGAAAATCGAGTAAGTTTTATATATATAATCATTCTTCATTATTTGTAGGTGATGACTATTTAATATAAATTATTTGAATGATGACTATTTAATATAAATAAGTAAACATTAAGTGTTTAAAAGAAACAGGCAAAATTCTTTGGAAATAAAAACTGAAATAGTGTTTCTTATAAGATAAATCTTCTTAGTTATGAAAGAATCAAAATGATAATGAAAATTTTTATCCTTATTAAACTAGTCACAGCATATTATGCCATAATTATTTTATGTATTGAGGATACACATTACATTGGCATGCAAAACTTTTCAGCCACGTTGGTAAATTATTTTGTTAATTTAACCCCAAAATCCAGAGTGATTAAGAGCATGTTTTTCTCAGTACATTTTATGAATTTTGAGGGCCAGATAACAAGTTACTGCATTTTTTGTTAATTGTGGATGATAGAGCATCTTAAGCATAGTGATGCAGAAAAAAAAAATTGGGACACCATAAAAAAATTTCACCTAATTTTTTTTTCTTCAAAAAGGGATCTTTGTTATTTATGTACAAAATGTCAAAGTATGGAGTTAATAATTAGTGTTGCTTCCTTTGGCTTGAATAATTGCCTCAATTCAATGTGGCATTGAAAAGATCAAGGTCCATATTTTCTCATTGGTAAATTTTTCCCATTCTTCTTGGCTGTAATCCCAAAGCTTTTGGAGATTGCATGGTTTTGTTGGAGCACTTTTATCTTCAGTTCCCATCACAATCTGCTGGTCAGTTTCCTAAAAGTTGAACATCTTCATCCACAAGAAGCCTTTTTTGTTGCACATGTGTAGTAAGAAATGATGTTGATGTTAAAATTTCTCCATGTTTGTAATTTAGCAGATTAGACTGTTGTAAACTAATATAGATTTTGCTGTTTAGATTTCCGTCAACTTTTACCAATTTTCTTCGGTCATCACTTTTCATGCAACCTCACACCATTATATGTTAATCACCAAAATTTACTGTTTGTGTTTCATTCTCCCACTGGACTTCTTACCTATTCTCTTGCATTAGAATGTAACCCGGTTTTGCATTCATCACTATAAATAAATTTTTACTATATTTTTTTTTTTTTTTTTTTTTTTTTTTTTTTTTTTTTCAGTTTGCTCCAAGCAAGGCAAGAATGCCACTAATATGCAGGGGGTTACAGAGAGTGAGAGAAAAGACTGAGTATAGTGGGGATGAGGAAAGGATAAAAGATGTATGGGGTTCAAGAATACAGAATATAGCGATTAATGTTGCATTTAAATTGTTGAAGATTGTAATTTTAAGAAGCAAGTAAATGGGAGGGAGTTCTACTGTTAGGAAGTGTGAGAAAGGAAATTGTTGGAGTAGAAGTGGTGGTTACATTTAACTATTTTGATAAAAGGGTGGGGACCTAGGTATTAACCTAGTGGCATACTTAAATTCATGTAGGGGGTGGGTTCTAGGGAAAAAAGCTCATCAGAGCACAGTGAGAAAATGACTAAAGTCAAGATGCTAAGGCAGGATCTATTACATAGCAGATCCTTTTTGAATTTTGTCAAGAATCTTGAGATGAATAGCAGGAGTGTCGTACCAGATATGGCAACAGTATTCAATGCATGAATGTTAGATTTGTAAATGTGCAAGATGGACTCTGACAAGAAAAAACTTCTGCGGTAGATATAGTCCAGTATCCTATGTTAGATGTTCTTTTGATCACTTCAAACTTCTATTCCAATGTTTTTGTTTGTTTTTTTTTTTTTTGCTGTTATACACCTGTTTAAGTTTTTTTTTTTATAATACTTTGCATACTGTATAAACTGAAACCTCACTGTTAAGACTGCATTCATTCCTCACTTGTCTAGATGTTAATTTTGGATTTCCTATTGTGTTTAATTATTGTTGTCTAAATTTTGTGGTCTTCCAGTTTTCTTTGCACTTAAAACACTCCCAGTCATAGCAAACATCTTTTGGATGGTTTAAACACTGTTTTTGGAAATTCCCAGCCACCTAGCTCTCTCTTGTTGAAAATTTGTCCCTTTTAAAGTCACAACATTCATCATTGTTTCAGCAGGAATTTTAGCCCTGATTTTAGTGAAAAAAAAAAAAAAAAAATCAAACAACCTAGTTGATGAGCTAATTCTTACATGGAAATGTGCATATTATAATGACTTTATCATCTCATGGTTTTTTTTTTTTCAATTTCAAACTGCTTAAGTCTGTGTTTCTTCTGTTACATGACGTATGAAAATGCAACAACTTATTTACCAAACTGGTCCACAGACACTACTGATAAAAGCATATTGCTAAACAATTTTAACTTTTAAAATAACAATGTATATTCATTTTATGTAGTTGGCCCAAAACCTTTGAACACCAGTGTACATACTTAAAAAAAAAAAAAACTTACAAGCACCATGCACACATATGGTAGACCATAAAACATTTTTTAAAGAAGTATTTTTTCTATGAAAATATTCAGCTGTACCAAGTATCATGATCTAAAACATATGCATATATGTTAGTTCATATTAGACTTGGGAGGATGTGCTGAAAAATTCTCAGCCTGACTCACTTCCCAAAATGTGAGCATTATTTTATCACTCTTAGAAAAATTGTTTTCATTTACACTGTAAAGTGCCAATTTGCAGGGTCCTTGATTATTGACAGTGCTATATTAATGGAAAGTGTATAATTTTCAAGTATTGAACTCTGGGCCATTATGAATTTACTACAGAAGAAATCTTCAAAGGAAATCCATGAGTGCATGATGCAAACATTGGGTGCAATCATACTTCAACTGTGAAGAAGTGGTTTGCCAATGTTCAGTATGGAGATTTTGAGATGTAACATGGTCTGGGAGGCCTTTAAACAGTTTCAATTCCTGAAATTTTGACCAATCAAATGAATCTCAACCTCAAACATTTCAGACATACTAGACACTAGAGAAACACTCAGTCTTCACTTTTCAGAGTTGATAGTATTCAAATTTGTTTATGCAGCCATGTAGGGGAAGGCTTATCCTCAAATCTGAAGCTGCTTTCCCACAGATGCAATATTGCGAGCTATGGTTTAGTGGAAGTCAACCATAGTTACCTCCCTTTGGACCTGTTATAAAAGGGATATGCTCCACCCTGTTTGTTGCCAGAATTGAGTTATAGTTGAATAAAACTTCAGGTAAAGCTTCTACCATGTTTGTTTTTTCATTCAACTATCTACTATGGACAAGTATCTGAAACCTGGGTGCTTGGATATTGATATATCTAACCCAGACACTAGTGATAAATGGAACCATTGGAAAACGTTATTTGTCAGCTTTACCATCCTCTCTCACAAGAATATCTGCAACAGAAAAGCTAACCCTTTTCATTATATCTCCACCTGGGTTTATACCAATATTTCTTTCCTCGGGGACTGCTGTTAGTATTCTAGAGGGAATGTTTATCAAAAGGAAAAATACCGTTTTCACTCAGCTAGAAGGCAACAACCAGAGGAAAACTTGGATCACTACTTACAGGCAGTAAATTCCCTAAGTTGGGACAGTGACTTCATGGCATTGACAGTGGACCAAACCTGGGACAAATTCATAAGGAATGCCTTTTATTAACAGGATATCATCTCAAAAAATTGCTCAAAAATAAATCTTTACATCTGACAACAACTTATGACCAGTCCCTCTTATTGGACATAGCACAGAAACAGTCTGCCTCTTACTTACAATTTGGAATCGTCAGTGTTACCTTGGAACTCTCTCTGGTCTATAATTTTTTTTCTGCCCAGGATACTTCATTCCTTGCTTCAAATACTCTCATTTCTGCCCCCACCTCTGGCCATTCAAAGCTCTTCTCTTGATCACACAGTTCCAGCACTCACTTCTGAGTCTTTCATAAACCCTATTACTGTTGCCTCAACTCTGTGTAAATGTGGACTCACTTCTCAACTAACTTTCATCCTGTCTGGCATGAGTCGATATGCTACAAGTGTAGGTAAAAAGAGGCATTTTTCTAAAGTTTGCTGGTCTCTTTCTTCTCTCCATTCAGCAACATGGGTGACCCTAGCAACCAATATAGTATAAACTATATCTCCTAAATGCCTTTCAAAGGACATCTTAAAAATTAAAATTAATGGAGTAACAATTAATGCTTTAATTAATACTGGAAGCTCACAAAGTTTTGTCAATGTGGACATTGCAAAAGTAAACTGTTGGAAAATTATGCATTGTTATTGTAAAATAGTTATGGCAAACTCCTCACTATCTTCTCAAATTAAGGATTATTGCTTGGTTGAACTACAGATAAAACAAAATAGTTATAATCTTAAACTCCTAGTATGTCCTGGGTATGACATTAAACTACATCCAACAGCAAGGCCTCTGATCAGGAGGTTTTGAGGAGCTTTGAACCACCTCTTAATTGCTGGTGTTCCTAGGTCCACCCTGACCCAGGGTGGTAGCACCTGTTAGGGTCCCAGCTATGGGTAAATAGTGAACTTCCAGTCTAGCCCACATCCTGGGTCTGACGATAAACTGCATCCGCGTCCATGGGTATGACAGTAAATTGCATCCACGTCCTGGGTACGGCGATAAACTACATCCACATGCTGGGTATGGCGATGAACTACGTCCAACAGGAGGGCCGCTTTTGAAAAAATATGGTTGTCGGCTATACGTTTTTGGGAAAATAGTATTACCAGCTATACACTTTTGGAAAAATAATATTACCAGCTATATGTTTTTGGAAAAGTAATATTACTAGCTATATGTTTTTAAAAAAAAAAAAAAAAGAAAAATATTACCAGCTATATGTTTTTGGAAAAATAATATTACCAGCTATATGTTTTTGGAAAAATAATATTACCATCTATATGTTTTTGGAAAAATAATATTACCAGCTGTATGTTTTAAAAAAAAAAAAAGAGAAAAATATTACCAGCTATACGTTTTTGGAAAGATATTACCAGCTATTTTTTTTTTTTAAAAAAAAAAAAAAATATTACCAGCTATATGTTTTTTAACAAA